CAATATATGAGCTCAAAGTTTACACCCTGATCACTGTAGATGACATAGGAAAGAAGTGGGCCATCCTTCACTGGGCTTGGAGAACCTGTTTAAAAAAAGAACGGACCATGTTGTACAACTGTAGATGATCTTCATTGCAGTTCTATTTTAAGCGACTTAGGAACGTGCACTACTAGAATCTCCTTTTCTCTAACAGTGAACTAATGAAGTTCACATTTCATGGATTTATCTAGTCAACATGATAAAAAGTTTCTACTATAACAAAAAGTATGCAACTTCTGAATTGAGCTTGATGATTACTACATCTCAGAATGAAATTAACATTCTTTTTCTAAAACCGAGGAAGTTTTTGCCTCTATCTTTACCTGATAGATAACAAATAATTTTATGCTACTTTATTACTTACACTTACCAAATAGAAGCAAGGGAAGAAGAAGGCCGGCTACCTCTAAAGTGGCTCTCTAGGAACTCCAGCTACTGAGGCCTCTCCATTCCGACTAGAAGCAATAAAATAAAACTATCTTTTTAGGGTAAGGGCAGCTAGCAGGCAAAGAGGCGAGTCACCCTGTGAGCTAAGTTACTAATTTTCTGAAGAAATGAGCCCTCAATGAGGCCAGCCTGTAAATCACATCGCCTCAATTGTTTTCTTCTCATTTAACTTGTAATAGTCACTAGTTATGTAACTTTGAGAGTGTTACTTTTCTGTGCTTGAATTTCCAGATGTATAAAATGAGGATCATACTACTATGCTGCCTCATTGAGTTGTGAAGAATGAGACAATATTATATGCATGGAACAGTACCAGACACGCAGTGTTTATTACCTATCATTATCATCATCATCAGTTTGCTCAAGTGTGTACATGTGCATGCACACACAGGCATTTTTGTGTGCGTTGCCCAGACTGGGTTTGAACCTGGAATCTTCCTGCCTCAGCTTCCCAGAGGACTGGGATGCCAAGAGTATACCCAGGTCAGTTTGCTTGTTTATTAAAATAATAGACTACAGGCTAAGGATATAGCTCAGTGGCACAGTACTTGCTTAGCATGTGTGAGGCCTGGGTTCAACCCTTAGCACCGAAAAAAAACAAACACACGCACTTGGTCATAAGAAAGCACAAGGTCTCCTGGGCCCATGGTGCAAGGCCACAGAGTGTGGAGGCCAAGCTCCCGATGCCACAGGGCTGTAACTATCAATTTAGCCTGTGAAGCACAGCTCACTATTCTGATAGGAATGCTCAGATTTCTGCTCGTTTTTCTCTCATCATTATTTCCCAGGGTCTTAAAAAGCCACAGTTCTCGTTTTGACCTCACCACAAGAACCTGGTCACACTTTGCTGTGGTCTTGCAGTCTGAGCTCCTCCCGCTTTGGTTTTTTCCCCACATTTCTTCTGACCTGAGCTGACTCCGTCCAGTCTTTGGGAGGCTACCCTAAACCTGAATCCCTTCTACCGCCCTGGTGGAAAGACAAGACTCTCGTGAGATGACACAGAGATGAGTCCCTGCATCCTCCTGACAAGAGTGTCCGGAGGAGCACAATCCACAGAGCTCACGGCTCACAAGCGCACTTGGTACCGGTTGGCCAACAGCTCTCACGTTTCATCTGGATTTGCTGAAATAATCTTGACCTTGTTTGAAAACACAAATAATCAAGGGGTGACAGCCCAAGTGAGGGGGCAGCAGCCGCAGAGAAGAAAGTCAGCAGAAAAGCCTCCCAAAAACAATTCCTAAGGGTACTTCCATCACCGTGTTGGGTACCTCACCCATCACTGAATGCATGAAGAGGTATGAACTTGAATCTATAGCAAGTGTACAGTCAACATATTTTTTAAAATATTAGGCTTCCTGCTACCTAGATACAGCTCCAACTGTACCCACATGCTAAACATTTAAATGGCAATGGACTAGGTCACCAGACAAGGTTATGTGATAATGTTGTTCACAGGAAGAGAGAATCCAAGAAATGTAAAAGTTATAGCAAGACGAGACCTCCAAATAGTCTCAGGACAGGCTTGCAACACTGGGCAGTAAACCACCTTGAAAGTGTAATACTATGGACAAGGCCCGATTCCTGCCTCGGACACTCCCAGCCTCCAAACTTGAAAAAGCTGTTTGCTCAGTTTCCTCATCAGTAACAGAGATAATTATAGAACTTACATCTCAAAGAATTGCAGTAGATGAGATACAGTACAAATTTAGTAAAAAGAGCCCATTGCATTTTCAATTATTCTATTATTAGCATTTAAGGCTTTACTCAACCCATTTCATAGATGAGGCAACTGAAGCCCAGATTTAAGTAACTGGCCCAAGGTTAAAGAATGAAGACTTCTAAGAACTAAGAGCTTCCTCTTCTTTTCCCTTCATCATGATTCTCTTATGAATCTATACAAATGGAAGGCCAGAAAGAGAAGAGTTTTCACTAGATAAGTCAAAGTTACAATTAAATTAAAATCAGAAGCTTTTATTATTTAGGCCCCCTTGTCTACCAAATAAAATTTCTACTAATTTCCCATTCTTGTTATACAGTTATATCTTTCAAATCTTTTTTTTAAAAAATGGTTTTGGAGCTTTGGTGCCAGTGCAAGTTTCCATTCTCAAAACTCCCTTCCTTTGGGCCAATCTGATACTTGGAGTTATAGACATATCAGGTATATAATCTCACATACATTATGTGATTTTTAGTTTCCTGGGAATGAGAAACAGCTCACTGGGCAACTAGATTTCTATCAGTGCTATGAAAAACTGTTCTATTCAAAGAAAATCACAAGTGGGAAAAAAAAAAGAAAAATTGTTCTGCTTTTTTTTTTCCAACAGTGTATCGTGGATGGGAAACTATCAACAGCTGATGGCATTCTGAACAGTTATAAGCCTTCAAGGGTTCTCCAGAGTTCAGTTTCAGTTACATGGACCACTGGGTTTGCTTTTGCAGTGCTAGGCACATGGTGTACAGCTTCTTAAGACTGTATAAAGCAGAGCTTTAACCAAAAGTCAACAGTAGAGGGAAAAAAAAGAAAATGGTCCTTATAACAATATGAAGAATAAGAGTAGATGGTATGGGAGAGATTAAAATACAGATACAGCTACAGAGTACAACAATATCTATGTAAAATATTTTCTGTGCCAAACATCCTGCCAAGTACTGCAAAAACAGTGATGAAGGAGAAATGGGGCCTGCAACCAAGGAACCAGTATAACACAGGAGAGACTTTTAACAGGGCAGAGATGAACTGAAAACAAGCCAGGAAGAACGCTACCCGGAAGAGCCGTGTTCCACTTGGCCAGGAGCCCCAGAGCGCTGGTACAGATTAGCAGCCTAGAAACCTGACCCCCAGGCGTGTCAGTTCTGTAAAAGCAAAGGAAGTGACCTGGTCTCAGGCTTCAGTCTCTACCTACTTCATTTGCTTCAGCTGAGACCACGTGAGCAAATACAACTCCTTGCTTCTTGCTTTCCAAGGCAGGGAGAAGAGACTTCTCCTTCCAGAAAGCTTGTTTTCCCCAAGAATTTATAATCCTGATCCATAAGAAACCTGGATTTTATTTACAAGGACTCCAGCTCCACAAAAGCATGAGGGAGGATAGCAAAATATATTTCTCCAACAGCAGTCCAAGCTTAGGCCATTAGAGTAGCTATGTCATCTCCAAAGAACCTCTGGAGAATAGAGAGGGAGAAAATGATCCATGATCGAGGAAGATGAACTTCAGTTCATGACTTTTCTTAAAAGGAAGCCTGTGACAGGCTGTCTTCTTAGAATGTTGCCACTAAACCAGAAAAAAGGGAAAGAGAAGCAAGTTTGTAATGTTATATTGGTAATAAAAATAATGTTTTCAGCCAGGCATGGTGGTACACGCCCATCATCTCAGCACTCTGGGAGGCTGAGGCAGAGGGCTGCAAGTTTAAGCGCAGCTTGGGCAACTCAGTGACGCTGCCAGACCCTGTCTCAAAGTAAGAAACAAAAAGAGCTAGGGATGTAGGCCAGTGTAAAGGCCCTCCATTCAATCCCCAGTACCACAAAAAGTAAAAATAAAATAATAGTAGTGAAGATAATGCTAACATCATTTCATGAAGACAAAAGTGCTTTAAAGTGATTATCACATTTAGCCTAAACCCAGTTCTCTGAGACTATAAAAATGGTCATATTCCTGACTTTTATATATCCCAGACATACTTTACATGATCTTCAAAAACATAATCTAAGTGCTGGAATGGAAGTGCACACCTATAATCTCAGTACCAGGAAGCTGGGGCAGAAAGATCCCAAGTTTGAGGATAGTCTGTGAATTTAGCAAGACTGTCTCAAAAGTAAAATAAACAAGAGGAATAGTTCAGAGGTAGTATCGTTGCTTAGCACACCTAAGGCCCTGGGCTCAATCACAGTGGTGCTATGATATAACAGCAATCCAAAATATTCATTAGAAACATTCTGAAATCATTCAGTAATCCTATAGCAAGAAAACTGCACAAGAGCAACATCCTAACTCCACGAGAAAAGCCAGGCATGTAAAACAGACTAAGTGATCCCCAACTGAAAGAAGCCAGAGTACTCTAAAGAAAGGACAAAGTTAAACATTATAATCAGGCTAGACGATAGTGCACACCTGTAATCCCAGCACATGGGAGGCCGAGGCAGGAAGATTGCTGCAAGTGCAAGGCCAGCATGGGCTCTATAGTGAGTTCAAGACCAGCCAGAACTACATAGCAAGACTGTCAACACACACACACACACACACACACACATATATACAAGCAATATACATATATTAAAATTGGGACATAGAGATAAATCTAGTTGACAAAACAGCAGTTATTTAAGGTCCTATAGACACGGTCATTAATGACACATGTCACTGGGCACAACTAGCTGCACCAAAGGCACATTTCACACATACTGAGCAGACCTCATCCAGTCACCAAGACTTAGTATTCATTGGCACTACGTGGGGATCATAGTGCCCCTAGATTCTTCCTGTCCCCAATGCTTCAGCAAAGCACTCTGCACTTACTAGTCCATGAAGAACCTGGCGATGCCATACTGGCTAATGTCCTCCCTGTTCTCCAGCAGCTGGTACACGGCGTCCTCCATGTACGTGAGCACATGGCGCTGAGCTGCAGACAAATCAAGAAAGGGAGATAGATTAAAGATCAAGACACAAGGCTCTCTCAGTCCCGGCAGACAGCCATGGAAGTCACTGAAGGTGTCAGCTGTGCCCAAGGAGGGGCTGGACAAGCAGACAACCCTGCTGACCCTGGCTGAGATCTGACATCGCGGTCAGAATGCAAACAATGCGTGACTGCTGCTGCTCAATGCTGTCAGCAGCAGCACCCGCTTCGCTCTCCATTTCACAGTGGACACAGGCCCAGAGGAGCTTTGGAGACACACTTGGAAGTACTTGCTTTTTATCTCCCTCCAGCCTTTTCCACTCTACATGGCCAGAAATGCACTCTAGGCAATTGGTGCTTTTATGCCTGAAGTATGGATGATCTGACTACGAAGAAGTCTCAGTTCCTTCATTTAAAAAAAGTCACTGAAGAAGTTTAAGGACCAAGAAAATTTCAGGTCCTTGTATTTGTAAGTTATTAACCTTGGTAAGTAATAAGAGCACAGAAGCCAGGTGTGGGATTACACCTGCAATCTCAGCACTCAGGAGGCTGAGGCAGGAAAATCACTGAGAGTTTGAAACCAGCCTGGGTTACATAGCAGAGATTCTGTCTCAAAAAACAAAAGCAAACATTTATATAAGAGCATGGTATCTGGATAGCTTTACTTATTAGAGATCATGATGTTTTCAGTGTTTGTGGTAACTGAGAAATGTGTGACTTAAATCATGGGATTGTGATACAGTTTATTGGAACTGGGTTTGACCCATGCTCTGTTTTCCATGATCTCGGATCATTGGTCTATACCTATTTTCTTCTTTATTAAGCATGGAAAGCAATATAATTTAATTTACTTCTGTAAGTATGGTCCATCAGCTCCTCGTTGGGAATCACATGGGATGCCCTATTAAAACATTAACTTGGCAGCTAGGGCTGGAGTTCAGTGCCTGAGTGATTGCTTAGTTTGGTATGTGCAATCCTGAGCTTGAACCTCAGCAACACACACGAGCACATACACACACACAGAGATTTGTGGTCTGGCCATTTCAGACTTAAGTGATCTTAAATTTCTAACTAGAGCCCCAATAAGTTTTAATAAGTACCCTTGGTGCTTCTCATGTACAATGAAGCTTATGAATCACTGGTTAAGAACTCCGGCTTTGGAATTCAGGGAGACCCCATTTCAACTCTCTGCCCTACTATTTCCTGGTGTGACCTTGAGGCAAACTCTCCCTAAATCTATTTCCTCTTTAGGAATGTGAGTAATGATGCTACCCTAACTAGTGTGTAGGATTATAAGAATTCAAATCAAATAATACACCTAAATACCACAGTGCCTGTGCCTGGTACATGCTTGATAAATTTTCTTAAAAGACTATCACAGATGCCAAGGGTGGTAGTATACACCTGTAATCCCAGAACTCAGGATGTTGAGGGAAGAAGATCACTATGAATTCCAGGGCAACCTGGGATAGAGTTCAAGGTCAGCCTGAGCTATATATAAGACCTTGTTTCAAATCCCCCCTACACACAAAGAAAACTATCAGCCACGTGCAGTATTGCACATCTATAAAAGTATACAGATACCAAGAGGCTAGGCAGGATTGCAAGTTTAAGGCCAGCCTGGGCAATACAGCAAGACTGTCTCAGGGGGAAAAAAATTCTGTCAGAAAGGGTTCTTGGGGTTCTTCCCCTTCTCTGAATTCTATCTTTAGGTATGATAATGGCAACCTGGCACACTTTACATAAAAGCTTCCAATTCATGTTCTCATTTACCATCCAAAAATTCAGAAAAATACTTTCTTCTGGAGTGGTGAGACCAAAAACCTAAAAGCAACAAATAACTTGCTAAACAGCAATTCCATGAAGTTTATTGCCAAAGTGAACACTTGCTTTTGGCAGTTTGAGTCGTCAGGAAAATTTGGAGCCACCAGTTGAATTTCCTAAGAATGGATACTTACAGAATGCTAGATATTAAAAAGAACAGATACTTATAGAAAACGTCCTTAATTCCTGGTTGCTTGAAGTTCATAAAACAGATAAATTCATTTGCCAAACTGAGCCCAAGTAAGTCTTCAATCTGACAGCACGGACTGTGGTGACAGAGGGTCTCATCCAAAAGAATGATGTGTCTATCTTCCCTGACAGGCTCTATCCGCAAAGGCGTTCCAAAGCTGACAACTGTCAACCACAACAAACCCTTACCGCTCACTCCAAGATGCAAAAACACAACAGTGCTTCAACCAACATAGTTCACTCAATTGGAAAACTATTTCTTTAAGAAACAGCCCAAACTGGGAACTGCATATAGCTCAGTGGTAGGGGACATGCTTAGTAGCTGCAAGGTTCTGGGTTCCATCCCTTGGAAGAGAAAGACATGGCCAAAACTAAGCACAAAATACATGTCAATTTCTGGCATCGTTTTAAAAATAGCAATGACTGTGGCCAGGGATTTAGCTCAGCAGCTCAAGCACCTGCCTGGTAAGTGCAAGTTTGGGAGTTTGATCACTGGTATCGAAAGAAGGAAAAAGAAAAGAAAAGGCCAAAAAAAGAGGCATTCATTATAATTAAAAATACATATACAGTAAGGGAAGGAAAATGGCCAGATCCAACATTAAAATCAGTATATTTTCATCTCTATATTTCTTTGCCTTTCTTCTAGCCACTTACAAAAAGATTCCTTTCTTGAGCTATCTGGCTTTTTGTGATTTACATCTACCTAAGGCTAGTACTGAAGAGTTTTTTGTTTTGTTTTGTTTTTGATGGTAGAAATGAAACAGCTCTACTCAGAAGCAAATTCTACTGCTTCTCCCCCCTAATTCCAGAGACTAAAAGCCAGTGTGAAAGCCCTTTAGGCAGGAAATGTTTTTAGAGTAGTTAGAATCAAAGTAATTTGTCCTCCAACAAAAAAGGAAAGAAAAAAAGAAAAAAAAGGAGAAAGCGAAATTTTTTGGAAAATAGACTTTACACTAAAAAAGAGGAAAAACAGAAAAATAAGGAACCATACCTGTTTGACATTTATATGCCACTAAGATATTTAGTACAATATTACAAATAAGAGTTGCCAGTTGTCAGCCCCCGTGCAACTTAATAAACAACACGATAATGTGTTAAATTTTTTGCATATTATTTTAATCTTCACAACAATTCTATGACAAGTATTTATATATATTTTACAAATAGGAGACATGACACTTAAGAATTAATTTGCTCAAGGGTCAGGGATTTAGTTCAGCAGCATAAGTGCCTGCCTAGCAATAGTAAGGTAGTGAGTTTAATCTGTGGTACCAAATAATAATAATAAATAATTTGCTCAAGATGACACAGCTATAGAGAAGCTGAGATGTACTGGTGACACACACCTGTAAACCCAGCTCTTGGGAAGCTGAGGCAGGCGGATCACCATGAATCTGAGGCCAGCCTGGGCTACATGAGAGTCTCTGCCTTAACAAAACCAAAACAATAAAGATTTGAACCAAAGCCTGTCTGATACCAAGAATTCATGCTCTCAACATGTTGCCTCATCATTAAAACGTTACTTCTGGAGGGCAAAATAATCTTTATTCTGCACAGAGCCCGGAGGTAGGGTGTACGTTAAAAGGAAAATCAACACTTGGCCTGGCATCGGAGAGAGAGAGAGAGGGTCCACCTGTGTCTGAATGTGCGCATGCCCGTGAGCACGCATGTGTGCACATCCTTCAGTCTTGCTGGCACCTGCATACCGAATAGACTTTGGGTGAAGTTCCAACTTGTCTCAAGATTTCAAAGTTTCTTACAAAAAAACCACCGCACAAGTATTCACCCCACCCCTCCGCGGCTCTCGGAGTACAAGACGCCAAGCCTGGCACTCTAAGCCCGCAGCCAGGAGGGGAAGGCAGGGCGGGGCAGGGGTAGGCATCCGCAGCCAGCGCCTAGCTCAGAGGCTGCTCCAGTGGCTCCTTCACAGACAGCTCTTATCAGCGCTGCTCCCCTATGGTTATGCGCGCCACCCAGCCCTGGAAAATCCTGTTTATCAAACCCTAATGAGACAGAAGTTCAAAGCTCTTACCTGGCAATAAAACATGGACAGTGTTGTTTTATATTATTTTTTAAATGCAAAGGAACAGGCTTTAATTTATGTTAATGATTGAAGAATTAAAGCAGCACACCTGCACCCCTGGAGGGCAGAGATATCTGCGCAATTTCGCTGGCCGCCTCGAAGAGGAAAAGCACTCCAAACTGGCTTGTCCTCTTCCGCTCCACAGTGACTCTTCCACCGCGTGAAATTATTCACTGAAGCCCTGCAGTCCTCAAGACCACACTAAAGCCCAAAAGCGCAGGGCTTGCATATGTGGCGCCACCATCAGCGACGACCGATTATAACTTTGCCTGGCTGCGCTGCACCGCCTAGGGAAACGTCCGACGGGCAGCGCTACACGAACTGCTTAGGAACCAGGCAAGGGGATGTGCAGTACATTCAAGAACTTCTGGGTCCTGCTGACTCCACGCTGATCACGCCAGCGCTTTAGACCGCAGTCATTCCGCTGCTTTGTTTATTTGTTTTTTGGATTTTGAGACAGGGTCTCCCTATATGGTTCAGGTTGGCCTTGAGCTCACCATGTAGCCAGGCTGGTCTCAAACTCACAGCAATCCTACTACCTCAGCCTCCCAAGTGCTGGAATGCAACACCACGCTATTCCAGCTTTAAAATGGGTGTAATACTAAGAATGTGTCTGATAATAAACTACATTTAGGAAAAAAATATAATGCATTCATGTATATTATTGCTATATACTAGCTTTATAGATTTTAAAAGCATAGCAATTTGCTGCAGTTGTTTAGAATGGGCTGCTGAGCCAGGCTGACCTCTATTGGATTTTCACCTCTGAAACTTATTGTGTGATTTATGCAAGTTACCTATATTTCTGCTCTTTCTGTAAAATTCAGGCAATAAGAGTACCTACCACCAAAGATTATAGTGAGCATGAAATAAATAACCTATATAACAATTTTAGCATAGTTCTTGGCAT